GTGCCTTATCTGAAGACTCAAACTGTTCATCAATGGCCTTCAGTAATGCTTTGACATTGGTATGCTGATCAACTGAACCACGAATGCCAGCAGATATCTTAGTCTTAATGAACATCACACTGAGGCGATTGGATCGCTCCCATTGTTCATAAAGAGCAATTTCATTTGGGGTGCTGGTCGGAGTAATGACTGGTTCGCCTTTCCTTATAGCATAATCAATGTCCATCCACCCTAAATGAAGAAGGACTCTCTCCTTCCACATCTTATCGTTATCACCCCTCAGTTCAGGAATGTCACACTTCGTATCAGAGAAATTTGTAGGTTGTATAACTGTAAAAATTAAACACATGCTTATAATTAAAATTTTGAGACTCATAAACTTATATCATGTTTTACCAATGTAAATCATGTTCTTTGAATCTAGTGACATAAAACTTGCCTGTGGGCTAAAGTTTTAACTTAATTAGATCCTTCTTTGATCTTATGATAAAACTATCAAATTACGCTTTATTTCCTAATTCCTGTGGGTAAGTTAAGAAATTTAATTTGATATTCTATCCTAATTAATCATACAAATATAATAAAAATTCCTGTGGGATAAAATTTATTATATTACATATGATTAATCACAATTAATGTGATAATGTAATCCAGAATCACTTAATATATATAATTTTGAGTAATTAAAGATGCTGTGTCTACTCCCTAATTAATTAAAATTATATGGATTACTTAACATTAATAAATCATAAAGGTTCATATTTAATTGCTTGAAACTATATGCAATATTAACCCAAAATATTTGAATTAATCCATTAAACACATAAAAATTAATGAACCTTTCATTTATATGTTTTACTTATGAAAATTCCATAAAAAATTATAAAATGGGTGAACATCTACTAAATACCCATATATATACTGAATTTATAATTTTTTTTTTAAATTTTCGGGTTTTCTTCCTTTTTTTTTTTGCTTCATCCAAAAACGACAAGTCGTTTTGTTCCTGATGAGGCTGATTAGCATTAATCAGAAACGACATGTCGTTTTCCTTTCCAAATGAAAACGACATGTTGTTTTGAAATGGCCTGCACTCATTATTCAACAGAAACGACATGTCATTTTATATACCCAAAGGGCAAAACGACATGTCGTTTTTTCAAACTGTTGATCCTTCTTCAACCTCCAGCCGGGTCATTTCGACCCGGTTTCAACCCGAACAAAAAACTTGACTTTTTCTCTTGATTTTGACGACCAAAATTGATGTTTAAAACTCAGAAATGATATGAATTCAATTACCCAATGATTCCTAATCTTAGTTTCCATCAAAAACGTCAAAATCAATAGTTGCCAAAAAATTTTCTCTCACGGCATTTCACATGAGCAGAACGAGAGGATACAAGGCAGAGGCAAACTAAGGCTCTGATACCAAATGTTAGAATTTCTAAATGATCTAAACGTGCTCATAAGGATCCTAAATGGCAATTAGATCAATGCGGAATTGAAATGAACGGAACGAGAAAAAACACCTCCGGCCATTGAAGCTCTCGGTGAAAAAATAGAAACTCGGGTTTTGGTTCTTCTAAACCTCTTCAATCTCTCGTTTGATGGTGTATATACTGACTGAATGGAGATAGCAGGCTTAGGGACCCAAAACTAATGTGCTCTATCCTCTTTTATAGACTCTGCCCATCACAGAGTTTTTCACGGACGTGCACCGAACGTGGGCAACGGTGGACAACTGCAGATAAGCGTGAGATGAACGTGACCAATCACGTTTCTTAAGTGGGAAATATAATGGACCACGTTTTGAGAGGATTGTTTCGGTTGGTTACCGAAACTTAAGGAAAAGAAATCCAACAGAACTTTGTATTACAAACAACATGTCGTACTAGTAGTAGCAGTATCCCAATTGGGAGCAATAGGAGTACTAATATGATTGGAGAACTCACTAATCAGCTGATTCACCTCCTCCAGACCCCTCAAAACCAAATCCTTGTCGTTTGCTTTCTGAGGGCTAACATCAGTAATATTACTGGAAGATGTTGTTGCCGTCGTTGGAAGAGAATTCTCCATAAGCTGTGCATAATAATAGTCTTCAGCATCCAAAGCCTTCAACAAAAAAGCAGTGAGCTCATCACCGTCGTCAGCAGCAGCTGTGGGAGGAACCGCACCGAGTATTCCGTCGGACGAAAGTCCTCCGAGATTGCGATTCTCGCCGGAGACCGACGTGGAAGGCGGGTTTTCCACGAGGGTTAGTGCTCCGTGATCAATGCGGCCGGGCGTCTTCGAGAGAAGCATTGAGTTCTGATCATGATCATCATGCGCATGATATTCTAAATTAGCTGGCGCAGTCTCCACATAATTATGAGGCAGAATTTGGAGCTCTGTGTTTTTGTTTGATCTCCTCAGAACTTTGTTGGTTTTAGTGGAGCCTCTCTTATACATCTGACAAAGAACATAGCCATCTTCAAGCTGGAACGAAAACCAAGTGTTAATTTAATATAGTTGGAGAAAAAGGAAGGATATATGACGCTAATGAAAACTAAAGAGCAATATGGGCGGTTTAGTCGCATTTAATCATGTAATAATTTTACATATTTAGGGCACAACTGAAAAATTAATAAAAGAGTCAGAGGGATTGGGGCTCGTTTCGAGACGATTTAAAAATTCGGGGCTAAAAAAACTAATGAGATTTGGTCTAAAATTTAAAAATTAAAAATAAGTGTAAGGAGAAGGAACGAGAGTAAAAGTCTCATACCTTGAGCATGTCTTCTTCTCCAAGAGTAGTAAGTTTTCTCTTTCGATCCAAACTAGGGAGTACTGAGAATTCATGCATAATCCAATCAGTCTTTTCCTCCTTTACATTTGGGATTACTCTATGGAAACCCAATAAACTCTTGGATCCAATTTTCACGCCATTATCGGAGTATACATCTGTTGTGTTTGCTAGTCTCCAATATCCATCTCCAGCGAGTCGGTTCCGTCGCTTTCCATTGTTCGACTTTCGAACTTTCAGCGTAAAAAAGTACCATGTTCCCTCTACTTGTGGCTTGTATTTCTCTGCACAACATTAATTCAGATTAACATATGAAGTAAGCAAAACTTGTAAAACGTTTTCCGCATTTAATCTACCTAAAGATCTTCCATGCATCGATCGTTTTCCTAAAAAGAAAAATATTGATGTTGATTCCAAAGCAAAGGCAGATTTTAAGAATATAAATGAAACAAAGTAAGCATATATAAGTTCTTCCTTCTCTCTATTATATGCGTAAATTAGTTAATCTTGCTTTCAATTATGAAAGAATATATCAGATTTCATAATAATCACGACTAGAAGTAACTGAAGTAAAACGCAAACCATGAAAGTAATTATCGTGAAAAGAAATCTTTAACTTCAAAACCAAGGAATGAGAAAAAGTATAACAAATCAAAAAAGAAAAGAAAAGGCAAGAAAGTGGTAATTTGTTTCTAACCTGCTATTTCCTCAGGAGTATAATCGGACAAAGTAATCTCTGAAATGATGCAGTTTGGCTCAAAAATCTGGTCCTGGCTCTTCGGTATCAAGTAATACATGATAAGTTCTTCATCGCTGGGTGCAAATCTGTAGCCAGGAGGACAATAATAATTCAACACGGCTGTTTCTTCTACACGATAGCCCTCCATTTGATCATAATTATGATCTGTTTCTGAAACCACCATTGATATTGAAGAAGGCAACTAGAAGGGATAAATTAAGATGAGAATTGAGAGATCGAGTCTAGGCTTAATGAGAAGTTAGGGTTTAAAGCTGGAATTTCTTTGGATATTCAGTTTTCTTCTTTGAGTACGTACGTCCCTAATATTTATACCTTTTGCTTAAGGATAACATATGATCAGTGGCGGTTAATTTATGGGTGGCATGCAAGGAATTGAATATTAGAGTTACGTTGGGAAGTTGGTATTTATCCCTCAGGATTATTTGGGGTATTTAGGTATGTTTATCTTATTTATTTTTAGATTTCAAGTAATATTTTGTGATACGATATAGATGGATATTTAAGTTTCTAGCGTGGAA